ACTGTCCAGACAAATGGAGGCCAAACACAAACTGGGGTGGGCTCCACCGACTTTAGTCCTCCTAATTCCGTCGCGGATATGGATCCAGGTCTGACATTTGCAAGCAGAGTGGTAGTAGCTGTCGCTCCACCCAAAATGGTGACCATGGGTGAGAGATCTGTGCAACTGCCACCAACACCACACAGCAGCCAAATATTAAAGGGATTGGTGGGGTAATTCCAGGGACTCATTTCGGTGTAATTTCCATACCCTTCCAAGGGTGAAAAGGTAAAGAGTCCATTTTCGAGCAGATGCGCTCTGCGACTCTGACAGCCCGTCCATGGGAAAATAATTGAAGAGTCCGCATGCCGGCCAGTGCAGAAGGGGGCGTACTGAGGTTGGTGCTTTCGTTCATTGCTCCCATAAGATGAACCGTGCTGTGGCCACCATCCAAAAAGGACCGTAGCATTAGCTGAAGATGTACGATTCCTGATGGTCTCTTTTCCTAACTTGGCATAAGAAAAATTTCCTAGCTTTATACATGAGTCAGCATGAGTCTGGTTGGTTGTAAAACAAAGACTGCCGTTATTTGGCTGGGTGTTGTTGTCTGGTATAGGGGCTATGTCCTGAGACATTGGCAAATATGGTAGCCCAATGGAGTCATTGGTGGTAAAGAAACGGGGGAAGACTTGTGCATCATACATGACTGGCATTGGTCGTGGGAATGTTGATAGGATCCCCCAGCGGATCTCCTGGGTCTCCACCTTCAGGTCCATCTGCACTCCGCTCAAGATCAGGATCAGGGTTAAGATCAGGCTCATCTTGCTTGACCACTCTGGTCAGCCGCGCTGGAACCCAAATCGGATTTTCTTGGTCCTGTGGGAAAACACAAACAGCTCCCCTGGATCTTATTAAAATAGGATCCGGTCCTTTCCATTGATTATCAAGCACATCTTTCCATTTTACCAGCTCATTTGAGGAGGCATGGTCAGCATGTCTGTCTGCAGCAGACCGCCCACACGAATCCAATTTCAAAAAATTTAAAGTAAATAAAGCAAGGGATATGGTTGCTTTCTGTCCCATTGTAATGGGGCAGAGTCCCCCCTTCTGTTTTTGCACATAAGTCTTTAAAACACCATTTGCCCGTTCTACCATGCCTTGCCCTTGTGGATTATAAGGCAATCCTGTTACATGATGAACTTCCATTTTTTGGCAGAACTGTTGAAAAACCTTAGATACATAAGCAGGGCCATTATCAGTTTTTAGCTGACGTGGCTTGCCCCAGGCTGCCCAGGCCTCCAGACAGTGGGTAATGACATGAGCCGTTTTTTCTCCTGACAGGGGAGTGGCATGAATCACTCCTGAGCATGTATCAACAGATACATGTACATATTTAAGTCTGCCAAAGGCAGGAACATGAGTAACATCCATCTGCCAAATATGTAATGGCTTAAGACCTCTGGGGTTGACTCCAATGTTGGGTGATGGCCGAAACTCCGCGCAACTGGCGCATTTTAAAACTATCTCCCGAGCTTCTGCGCGAGAGACGCCAAATCTCAGCCTGAGCGTATCAGCTGGAACATGATACAATTCATGAAAGGAGGTGGCATTTTTTACAGGATTTAATGCAAGACAAATTGCTCTGGTAGCCTTGTCTGCTAAATCATTAGCTCTTGTCATAGGTCCAGGCAACAAAGTATGAGCTCTCATATGCTGTATGAAGAAAGGATTTGCTCTATTCCTAATAATATGTTGTATCTCATCAAATAATATTGCCACAGTACTTTTAGAAGAAATCAATCCCACTGTCTCTAGAATTTTTACTGCTCCCACCACATAGTGTGAGTCAGAAACAATATTTAAGGGCTGAGAGAAGTTCCTTAGAACTTCAGCCACTACTGCACATTCAACCAATTGTGGGGAGGAAAATGAAAACTGCTTTTGAAATGATTGTCCACCCACAACATAACTCCCTATGCCAGTTTTTGAGCCATCAGTAAACACATCAATAGCCCCTACAATAGGTTGGCTTTGTGTAACTCTTGGAAAAATAAATGCATTAGTTAAAGAGAAGTGCAACAATGGATGTTTAGGATAATGATTATCTATATTACCAGTAAAGGTGCAGCGAAGAATTGCCCACACATCCAAAGTGGCACATAACACCCCTACTTGATGAGCGGTGTATGGCACAAAAATAGATGCTGGCTCACAGCCAAAATGAGTCAGGGCTGATTGAACACCCTTTAAGGCTATTTCTCCAACTTGAGTTGGGTAATGACTTAACACCTTTCCTGGAGATGTCTGAGAATGAATCCAAAGCAAAGGTCCCTGCTGCCATAGGACTGCGGTGGGTTGCTGTGGTGATGGGATAATGCATAAATGGAATGGACTGAAGGGGTCCAGCCGAGTTAAAGAGGCTTCCTTAAGCCTATCTTCCACCTTAGTTAATACTTCAGCAGCCTCCGCTGTAAGCTGCCTACTAGAGGTAATGGCTGAATCTCCTTCAAGGATGGCAAACAAAGGCCTAAGTTCTGCAGTAGTTAAATTCAAGTAAGGCCTTAGCCAATTAATATCGCCCAAAAGTTTTTGAAAATCATTAAGCGTGTTGAGCACATCTCTCCTAATGGTAATCTTTTGAGGTCTAATGCATCTAGGATAAATAGTTGAGCCAAGGAAATTACCGATCTCTCCCTCTTGTACCTTTTCAGGTGCTATGTACAAACCCTTTTGTTTTAGGTTAGCGGACAACATCTCAAACGCCTGTTGCAGTAATGCTTGCTCAGCATGGCATAGCAAGATGTCATCCATATAATGACATACCTTAATAGCAGGGAACCGATTTCTAACTGGCTGAATAGCGTTGGCCACATAGAGTTGGCACATGGTTGGACTATTGGCCATTCCCTGAGGTAAGACCTTCCACTGATACCTCTTATCAGGTTGTTCATGATTTACACTAGGCAAGGTAAATGCAAACCTAACTCTATCCTGATCGTGTAAGGGAATAGAGAAGAAACAATCCTTAATATCTACCATTACCAAATTCCAGTTCGCAGGAAGGGTAGACAACAATGGTAGGCCTCTCTGAATTGGCCCCATAACCTGCATTTGTTTATTTATAGCTCTTAAATCATGCAACAATCTCCACTTTCCAGATTTTTTCTTAATGACAAAGATGGGAGTATTCCAAGGTGACTGTGAGCACTCAATATGGCCATGGCTGAGCTGCTCTTGAACTAGCTGCTCAGCTGCTGCAAGCTTTTCAGAGGTTAAAGGCCACTGAGGAACCCAAACTGGGTCCTCTGTAGTCCAGGGAATGGGAATCGCCTCCTCAGTGGCCCCTAGGAAAAACCCAGGCCTGTTCTATCTTTCTTTTCCGAGGTTGGGATAGGGCTAGTGCGTCCTTGCAGGCATTTACCCAGTCCTTTACCTGGAACACATCCCATGTTCTTCATTATTTGTTGACTTTGAGGAGAGTATTCATTAGTTAAGGCAAAATCCAATTGTTGTAACACATCCCTTCCCCATAAATTAATGGGAAGAGGTAGCACATAAGGAGCGAACATGCCCCTTTTTCCTTCCTCATTTTGCCAATGCAAAGTCTTCGCACTCTTTTGAGGAGCATTTTCATATCCCAACCCTTGTAGGGATTGAGATGATAGAATAAGAGGCCATCGCGACGGCCACCAAGTTTTAGAAATTATGCTGGTATCTGCTCCAGTGTCCAATAGACCTTGAAAAGTTTTCCCTTCTATTATCAAACTCATCATAGGGCGTTCTTGCATACCCAATGACAAGAACATATGCTGTCCTCCCGAGGAACCAAAGCCTTTTTCTCCTCGAGTAGTTTTATCACTTGGGAAGTTCTGATGTAAACTGGGTAAGATCAAAAGTTGGGCCACTCTGTCCCCAGGCGAGATGGCACTAATCCCTCTAGGGGAGGAACATAACATTTGAATTTGTCCTGTGAAATCTTGATCAATGACTCCTGGATGAACTTGCAATCCTTTTAAGGTGGCAGATGAGCGGCCAATTATCAGTCCCACTGAACCCTCTGGCAAGGGGCCTGCTAAATCTGAAGGTATAGGCTGACATCCCATTATAGGTGTCAATACTGCTCTGGTGGTGGCACGCAAGTCCAATCCTGCTGATCCGGAGGTTGCTCTCCGGATGGAGTCATCTTCACAAACCCTTTTGATTGGTAGGGTGTCTGCTGGATGGCCCCATACATTTGTCTTGGGCCCTGGGGTCGGGGGCCCCTGTTCCCGTTTTTTGGCTGCTCAGTAGAGCGCTCCGGAAGGGGCCTCCCCTGATTGTCCTTAACAGACCTGCATTCATTTGCCCAATGCTTTCCTTTTTTACACCTTGGGCACAACCCTGGCTGTTTGACAGGCTGAGCATTAGGGGTCGCAGTTGGCGCCCGACACTGCCTTTTCATATGACCCATCTTTCCACAATTAAAACACTTTGCATTTGCAGCCTTCTGAGCTGATAATACCGCAGCTGCGATGCCCTGATTAGACAGTGGACCTCCTATCTCTCTGCACGCTTTCATCCAAGCGTTTATTCCTTTTCCTTTCCAGGGAGTAATGGCATTCCTACACTCCTTGGTACATTGCTCAAAAATTAATTGCTCCACAAACGGTATTGCGCCCTCAGGGTCCTCAAATATTCTTCCTGCTGCTTCCATCATTCTAGCCACAAAGTCTGAAAAAGGCTCTGTAGCTCCTTGTATAATCTTTGTCAAATTTCCGGTAACCTGTCCCTTATTTGGTAAACTCCTCCAGGCACGAACAGCTGCCTTATTGATCTGTTGGTACACCTCAGCAGGATACATTGACTGATTAACAACCCATTGACCTTGACCTGTAAGCATATCATAATTCCATTGAGGGTGCTGATTAGTTGCATTCTGCCTAGCCTGAGCCATGCATAATTCCTGATAAATTGCTCTCCAATCAAGATATTGACCCATAGAGAGACATGCCTTCACGGTATTATTCCAGTCAGCGGGAGTCATAGCATCAGCAGCTAGCCTCTCTACCAATGCCAAGGTAAAAGAGGCACTGATACCATACGTCTGTACTGCCTCCACCAATGTCTTCAGTTGTTTCAAATCTAGAGGAGCATATTGCCTCTGATTTTGAGCATCTTCCCATACAGGAAATGCTGCTTGTATCTTTCTAACTTCCTTTTCAGGAATGCGTGACGGCCTCCCTCCTGATCCTGTGTGTTTTTCCACTTCCTCATAGGGAGGAGCTGTTGTACTGCACTTAAAAGCTACAGAGCCACGCCTAGGTGAATAAGGCGGGACGGGGCCATATCTCTCTTCCTCATATTTTGCAGCTTCCTCATCTAACTCTGCCTGCTCAGCAGGGTCAAGACCCGACTCCTCAGAGTCAGATGACTCCTGCTCATCCTCCCCTTCAGAAGAAGATGATAGAGTGCAATTTTTGAACTCAGTGAGGAGCGGATATAATTTAGGTTTTTCATCCTCATCTTTTTTTTTTTTTTTTTTTTTTTTTTTTTTTTTGGG